ACATACATACATACATACATACATACATACATACATACATACATACACCATTTTATACAATGTTTTTTTCGGGGGACCGCATGGTGCCATGGCCCAGTGCGAGCACTGCGGGGATCCCGAAACGGTTCAGCCATTGGGGGCTGATCCCGGAGCGAAAGCGACGTGATCCGGGCGAGACACGTGGAACTAGCCTACCCAGTCAGTGGAACAACCTTAATTTAAACATCCTTTAAACCTTTTTTTTGGGATTTGTTTTGCCCTCCGAAAACAATAGCTGGAAACAGGTTCACCGATGTTTTCCAGGGAAGCGAACAGGGAGTCAGCGAGGGAGACTTGGAATAGCTCAGCGAGGGGGTGAGATTGATTAGGATGACCATGAGAGGCATGGCAGCTTTTTCAGGATCTTTTGCTTGTGAAAGACTTACCCAGCACAGAGACAAAGGTTCAGCTGTTGATTAGAAACTGCAGCGTTGTTTCAGCAGGAACTGAGAACCATTTGGTGGATCAGAAGATGTTTGTAGTTGTAGATCCAAAGCAATCCTTGATTCTCCTTCTTCCAGTGTTGGATTTTTCAGCTCTTTCACAGCCTCTGATTCTCACTGGTGCCCAAGCTTTGTCCCGGATCGCCGCTCAACGGATCATGGCCATGGACCTGCGGATGTGCCAATGAACCGGAGAAAAAGAAGCCGCACCTTTTTTGGTACCAGTTTTCAAGGTAGTTTGGAATGTTGGAAGATACCAAAGCATTTCATGCCATGTTAAGTAAGCCAAAGCCACCTTGTCACATTTGTCGCCATGTTCATGTGCTGTCGCCATGTCGGAACTGACCTTCTCAGGCTATCAGGGTCAGCAGCTATCTGTCCTCTGTTGCGGTCACAGAGAGTTGATCCAGTGAGTTGATACATGTCCCAGAGAGTTGATGTGCAGAGCTTTCGAGAACTTGCAAGGCTTGATGCCCAAGGCTTGATGCGAAGTGACCAAGGATACCCTTTGCACCAATGAAAGGGCTGAAAAGGGACAACAAGCGACCCGTCATTTTACATTTAACCAGGTGGGTTCAAACGAGCACGATTGATGTCACAGTGGCTGCTTAATTGCTGTCCGGAAAGCTGTTTGGGCTTGCCTACATGGGCAATGTTGCAGGTGATATTTGATGACACTTTAATCATTTAATCAATCATGGTTCTGACATTACTTTTACACAATCACTTTGCGTGCTTTGATTCATGTACAATCTCAAAAGGCAAAGGACAGGAGCCTGCACGAAGACACCCACAGTGGACCAAATGGTGTTATGTCCTGAGAAAAGTGCGTTTTCAAACTGTTTGAATGACAGTTGGGTTTTGGTCTTCTCATTAAAAAAACATACCGTTTTGAGACGCGTCCCTTGAGCTATGGGAATTCAATGCACAGAGTATCTCCGCCCGGCCCCAGGGGACTCACTTCTCAAGCTTTGTCGAGAGCGCTTCCTCCATCAAGGGCGCATAGGCATCGTCTAGGAGTCTAGCAGCTACATTGGCTAGCTATATGTTTGGAGTCTGCTCCAAAATGCTGAGCGACATTTTGGCTCATCCAAACCAGAGCTTGGTCTCGGGACACCAGAATCTACAGGCACAGTTTGAGACAGATCCTGAGGCTTGAGCCCTGGTGAGCTGGAGCGGTGCGCATTCGCATCGTGCCGCGCTCTTCGCCGCGCTCTTCACGGGCGAAGGACCGGGAGCAAACCGGGCGCTCTGAGGTACACACGGGAAGCTTCCCATCAGCATCGCCTTCAGCGGCTTTATGAGGCACCTAACATCGAGCATTTGGCGATGTTTTGTACGTGTGTTGGTAGATGACTCAGACTCAAACTTGCACAGAAGTTGGCAATCTCACTGTCAAAGATCACGGTGCTTGCATCGATCGTTCAGGGTCAAGGATCACGTATCAGAAGAATCAAAAGAGTTGCACATACTTCGCACGCTTCCTTTGACTACCTCTGATGTTGCGGGCCCATGTGATGCTGGCCCCTCGCGCGGCACCTGGAGCGGCCCTTCTTCCCCGAGGCCCGAGACCGTCGCCCCGGAGGCGGCGGGCCGACTTGGTGCCACGTGGGGCCGACGGCGGTGAGCGCCGTGGCGCGCGGTATGGCTTAGCGGACCTGGTGGCACTGTCCGTGGCCTCCACCGTGGGCTCCGGCGTCTTCTCCTTGGCCGGTCGGGTGGCCTCGCAGGAAGCGGGGCCCGCGGTGGTGCTCTCGTTGGGCATTGGAGCGATGGGATGTTTACTGAGTGCGACGGCCTATGCCGAGCTGGCAAGCCGTGTGGTGGCGGCTGGGTCGGTGTACGCCTACGCCCAGGCAGGCCAATCTTGGCCAACAGCGGTGGCTGGAGAATGGCAATCGCAGGAAACTCAGACTGAGCAGTCAAGACTTCCTTGCCTTACCTCTGAGCCCTGCAGGCCACTGGGCTGGGCCGATCTGCGATGGCCGTGGCAGCACTGTGCCTCATTGTGGAATACTCCTGGAGCTGTGCTGCCGTTTCAGTCGACTGGTCTGGAAAGCTCTTGCGTGCTGACTTCGGCCTTCCCTTTCTACAGGCACTTGGGGGAAGGCACTAAAGGGAAGCATGGTATAGACGACATAGTATCGGCGAGTGACATGGGAGTTCGGCCTGCTGGGGTCTTGAGAGTTGTGCTAGGTTAACTCCCCAGTCATGTGTAACCTCAAAATTGGCAAAACATGGCATGCACACGAATCAGATAGGACTTATAACCCTCCAAAGTAGTCATAAATATAGAATATCCAAATTCGATACCCTCACACGTCAGTTAAGAAAGGGTGCCTTCACACGCCTTCATAAAGGAAGTATGCTGTTTTTCCTCTATATAATTCATTCTAATTCCAGAGTCATCAGGTCAAATTCATTGATTTTCCGTTATTTTAGGGGTTCTTGTAGGTATAGACAGCTCTTAGCTACCTCTGTTGGTGATTCCCAAACGCTGATGCTGCAGCGGACTGCGGCATTGGATTAGTGGTTTGGATGGTGTGACGGGACCGGGTGATGGGCTCTCCTGTAATGTGTCCCAACCATATCACAGGAGGATCATCGATGTCGAGCAGGGTTGAAATTAATTTAGATTAACAAAACATGATATTTCAACAAACCATATTATATAAGTGGTTTTACAATCCAAGTGGGGGGGTTTACAATCCGGTTTGATGGGTCAAGAGTCTACACGTCATACGCCTTTGACCTTGCTCCTCCGTGAGGTTTTGGACCCTGCGGTGCTTTTAGTGCTGTTCTGCACCGGTTTGCTGATCAATGGCACCAAGGCCTCGAGGCTCTTCACCAACGTGAGCACAGTGGCAACGGGGCAGCGCAGTTTGTTATTTTGGTTTATGCCATGATGGTGGTTTGTTCATAGTTGGTTCAACGATATTGACCTCATGAACAAGATAGAAAGAATGGTTCCGGCGGGTATTGTGCTAGACATGCAACTTTGGGGGTATTTTTTGGGGGGTCGTGGACGGTCATGGTGCGTGGGACCCGGTGGGACCCGGTGGGACCCGGTGGGACCCGGTGGGTGGGTTGGCCCAAGGCGAAGGTGGGCTTGATCCTCTTCTTGATCGCCACTGCACTGATGGCCTTCGATGCCAAGAACTTACAACCCTTCATCCCAGAGGAGCCCGAACTGTTTCTGATTCTGTGGAAGCATCAGCATGCGGACTTCAGCCAAACGACGAAAAGAACATAGCGAGCGAGATTGGAAGCTTGTCAAAATGGTGGTCTTGACACGGCATGAAATCCAAATCCTGCACTCAAGCCCTGCTAGGAGTACGGCATCTCTGGAATTCTACGTGGTGCTACTGACTCTTTCTTTGGTTTTCTGGGCTTTGATGCTGTTTGTGCTCTTGCACTTGACACCAAGGATGCGAGTCAAACTAGCAATATATACAGCTGTTGGTTCTTGCTGTGATTTGAGATCGGATACTGATACTGAACCAGGAAGTGCATGTAATTTCAGACTTGAACAGATCTGACATGAGGCATGGGCATAGTGGTGCAAACACATCACAAAAGGTAGATTCCGAAAATGCCGTCGTAGGGAATAGGACGCATATTGTATGCATAATGTGACCAGCACTCACTTTGCCCTTCTGCTCCAGAATCATAGTGGATTTGTTTTTTTAAATTGTTGTCAAGCATGAAAATATCAACATATAGATCCTTCTGGCTTGAGATATCTGTAGGACAATTGCAGATGATAACCGAGTCGTCGGGCCTGATTTTCACACCTCCTCCCAAGAGTGGGGGAGGGTGAGATCTGTAACGCGAGGGTTCGATGAACTCGTTCGCCACTTCGGGCGAACGATGAGGATCGGGGGATCGTGGTACTCCGATGCAGTGAAATTGGATTAACCGCCCCCTCGGTATTTTCCGCGGGAATGGGGTTGAGCAAGTGACGCAAATATATCCAATCAGTTTTTTTCGGGCTGCGTTTTTCAGCAATTCATCTTACATTTCTCGTTCTCCCTTCTGAAGTGCGCATCTTGCACTCACATGTCGCTTGCCACAGGATGCCCGGCGAGTTGTGCCCAATGCTCTCTTCTTGGGCCTCTTTGTCTCAGGGGGTCTTACATGCCTTGCAGGCTTGGGATCTTTCAGTCTCAAACTTGACTGTGTATATATATATATATCTATTTTTTTTGTATCTCTGCACATGCGAAGGGATTGTCAGCGAATGAATTCGTTTGTTCAGATTGCTGGTCCGACCCCCTATTTTGGGGACTAGATTGGATCATTGAAACCTTGTGCCTCTTGGCGAAACCTTGACTCCAAGTTGTGCACCATTAGGACTTTCTGGGACAAGCCCAAGACGACCAGGCTCTCCAAGTCAATTTCCCAAGAACAGCAGGCCCGCCTCGCGAGGCTTTGCCTTGGTCTCGGCAGTGCCCGCCTCGCGCTTGGATCCTGCAGCGGGCTTTGTCTCCGCCTTTGAGATCTTGGGCAATGACTTTGCAGCTGCAGTGGTGACCGTCGCTCAGATGCTGAAACCAGGACAGTAGATCACGACAGGGCCTGGAAGGGGTATAGGACAGCTGTCGAGCTTTATGTATATATATATACCATTGAGTTTTTATTTTCCACAGACTACTGCAATTCTGTGTGCGTTGCAGTCTTTGTCGGGTTGTTGTTTGATTGACTTTGGGCGGAGGTGATTAGCAAGGAACATGCAGAGTTCAACTGTCCTGGAGTTTTTAAAACCATCCAAAGTTTGTGATCTGAAATGCGGAGGTGGGAGAGTTGTTGGTGCTCCCAGTGGTCGCGTTTGGCTGTTTGTTGCCGCTTGGGCGACTGCTTTGCTGCTTGGCGGAGGACCAATTTGAGATGTCATCTTGACGAAGACATACACCGTGACCCACAGCGGTTTCTGATACCAGCTCCTGCAAAGGTATGCTTGTGAGCATCGGCTTACCCAAAGAACACCTACAAGAAGTGATGCGAGTAGATGACACGTATGGGCGTTTCTTTCCTGGCTGTCCCTTCTGTTTGATCCGGGTGTAGGCGGGTGAGTCGACGAACATATCGTCGATCTTTCGCTTTCTGCGGGCAGGATGGATTCTTACCAGCTCCACTGGCACGACGCGATGCCAGCGACGAGCCGCTCCTTGCGACGCTGCTGGGCGGCGCGGCGACGGCCATCTGTGCTGGCTTGGTGCCCTTCGAGGTCTGGATTGAAATGACTCAAATTGGAAGATTTACACCATTTTTTTGTGGCAAGTTTCGGCCTGTGAGCAGGAAAACGAAACAGAGCGAAAGGACATGGCGGACGTCGACGGACGTTTTGAAACAAGGAAGAATCCCAAACGGAAGGGTGGTTAATACATCATGTATCGATCCATGATCCAACCATGTCTCCTGGAGGATTTGAATGACATTTGCAGTGCGGCAGTGCTGAGTTGTTTTATTTTGGCATCAGTGTCAGCAGTCGTGTCACGACAAGAAGGCCATGCATTTCCTTTTCGTTTCATTTCGGGAACAGTTGATGAGTAAAGAACACCGCAGTATCCTGTTCCGTACAGAAATACCGCAGTGCCCTGATTGAGCAAGCTTCCGTCTAGAGTCAACCCCTCTAGGTGCTTTGCAAGAGCAGCTGCGTGGGTTGCTGGCCGTCTTCGTCCCCTGCACCTTCTTCTGCCTCCTCCTGCTGTCGCCTCGCTGGACCACTGACACAGCCCTGGCACCCATGCTGGTCCGACAGCTGGGAGGCGGTGTGGGCGGGAGGCGTAGGCGTTCGGATCAAAGCGCCTGAGAGAGCTTTGGACACCTTGCTGGCCAGTCGCTGGGGACACTCTTTTCGATGTATGCTGACCAGTCGCTGGGGAAACCGATTCTGCGGTTTTGGTTCTGTGTTTGAAGAGTTGGTGTCGGCTTGTGATCAAAGGTGAACCGACAGCATTGCTTGAGTTGATTGCGCTGCTCCTCGCCTCCGCGGCAGTCTCTTGCGCCGTAAAAGTTCAGGAACTTGCACAGGCCAGATCTGTTCTTCCAAGCATCTACAGATTTGGATTGGGCATGTTTGGTGCGCTCTGGCCAAGGAAACAGAAACAGAAACAATCTTTTTTGCAGATTTTCCTCTAGCCATGTCTATTTTGTCACGTCTCAGATGTCTCAAGAGGAAGTTCTAAGCCTTTCCTGGTCAACCCAGAATTTCTGGTTGGTCAGCTTCTCTTGCATTCTCCTCCGCATTGTTCTAACAAGGAATACGATTGCATAAAACATGCCGCTGTTGAAGTAGCTAACGAGGGATTGTGCAATTGTGATTCTTGATTAGTGACTCAAAGCTAACAGATCCTCATTTGTTGGTGGGAGAGTATCTCTGAAGACAAGTGAGTTGTGTTTCAGCCGCTTGCGTCATCACTTCTCATCCCCTCATTGACATTTTCATCACTTCATGACTTCATCAGGCGCCTTCCAGTGGCTTGGCCTTTCCTCCAGCCGTGCACTTGGCCGCAGTCGTTGGCTCCGCAGCCCTGCTGACCACCCTTCCAGCTCCTTGGTCGCAACAATCAGCTGTTGAGTGGATGTAATCGTTTGTCGTTCTTTCCATGCTTGGTCACGAATCATCAGCCATCACTCCATGCAACTGGCTCACGCGTTTTGCATCGTCGTTTACTTGAGTGTACAAAGCACCTCCTATCTAGTGGCTCGTTATGCAGTCAAAGAGTTTTGGACCATGTTTCACACCTCTTGAGAAGGCCACGAGAACAAGAACACCGCCCAAGGCCTTCAGCCTCGTCTCCTGTTCTGCGGCCCTGGTGGCTGTTTGGGTCGCCTCAACCTGACGACCGAAGCCCGTCCCAGCAACGATTTGGCCCCGGCGAACGCGTGGAAATGGCAGAGATGGTGACCAGTACCGTGACGAATCCGACGAGAAGAAGACTCCGAAAGTCGGCTGTCGGTGTCGGGTCCGGGCGTGGCACTCGGACACCCCTCACTGGTGTTGGATGGAGGCCCTCGACCGGCTTGGAAGCCGGGGTGGAGCCGTTCGGCGCTGGGACCGACCCACAACACCTGGGCATAAAGAAATGCAGCCAGGCGGCTGGAAGCAACACCTGGGCTGTTGTCTTGGCTTTGGAGACACACAAAGAATTGGTGTATCCACCGACGCACCAGAGTTGGGGGAGCTCCGAGCTCTCTGCGAGTGCTAGGAAGAAAAAAAGCGGGCTGCGCTTCGGAAGGCAGACTTCAACGGCCTGTTCCACGAAAGGTCGCCGAGATGTTCCACGCAATGTGGCACATGTTGCCAGTTGTCTTCATGCTGCTTACGACATGTTTCAATAGTCGCTGTGACCGAGAGTCTTCTCCTGGTGACTCCGACTCGTGGACGTCGCCGTCCTCCAGGTGCGTCGCCAGGCATCGCTGGATGCGCGCCAGCAACGGCGCAGTAGCCAGCAGCAGAGGCGGATGGAGGAGAAGGCCTTGAAGACGGTGGAAGCGGGGGGGCCCCAAGATGGTGCCCACCTAGACAACACCCAGGGTCGGGGTTCTCCATGCAGTGAGGAGGCAGATTTACACGTGGCTTGTAGTTAGCATTGTGCCTTCTACAATTATTGGAAGGGTGGATATTGTTGTGTGCATCAGATACTACATGATACTACAGTATCCGTGTCAGCCAGTCTGAAGTGGTGTTGGATGGTTTTCAGTAAATGATCAGCCACACATACAAAGCTCCTTCCGGCGAATCTCAGGTTCGGGCTGAGTTAGCTGCCAAGCGCGTGCAGCTCGAGGGCTTGCTGAAGCTGAAGGAGGCCCCACACGGACGTGGAGAGCACCGAACCTGCGCTCAACGACAGCGGCTCATCCCTCCCAGGTGTGCGACAGTGATGGCAATGCCATGCAGACGGCCCAGCAGCGGAAGGTGGGCAGCGCTTGGCATGGCTCATTTGGCTCTCTCCTTTGGGCCACTGGAGGGGGTTGAACCATGGAAGAGACCAAGTTGGTGGATAAGAGACTGCACGATGTGACATGGCTTCCGCAGGTGCCACAGGCCTAGATGGTGTCTAGCTAGACCATTCGATGACCCATTCGGCATAGCTTTACCCCGCAGCCAGGTGGAAGACGAGGCACGGCGATGTGCTGCAGAAGCCTTGGAGGTTGAACGACAGAAGCAGGAGCGATGGAGTTGCCGGCCCCATTCGAGTGGATCTCAAGGGTCAATGATGTCGATCCGAGCGGATTTGAATCTTCTCCCGTCTGTGCAGTCTGTGCAGTCTGCACACGACTGCTCATGTGCACGCTCTTTCTATCATCCAAAGGAGGTCCAGGAATTCAACCAAACTTGGCTCAGCAACATTTCAGATGGTCTTTGAACAGGAAGCCCTGCGATGCCTGGAGGCGAGGGAGAAGGTTGCAGTGAAGGGTTGCCTTCTGATCCCGCATGCAAACTTAACATCGCCAAACTCACCTGATCCCAACCAGGTCACGTTCTGTGTCAGGAGGCTCAGAAGCCGACCTACCAGACTGCTACAAGACTACAAGCCTAAGCCTAAGCCTTCAACTTACGTCTTGCCTCTAACCCCCCGCAAGCCTCCAATGCAAGTCAAAAGGCACACTCTGCGCCGAAGCGATGGGGCCGCCCCGCAGGCATGTCGGCAGCGCAAGGCCCTCGAGAGCCTCCGGGCGGAGGAGGCACAGCAGCGCCAGCGGCAGCGCCAGGAGGCGTGTAGTTCGGATTGCTGGGTGTGGTGAGTGGTGAGGATGGTCGCAAGAGTGGTTTTTGTTGAAAGAGTCGGACAAATCATGTTGAGACGCGGAGGCACGCAATGATTTTTTTCCTTGGGGAGGGGATATCTTATCTTATAATATAAACGATATTATACAATATAAAATATACACATATTCTTTTGGGTGCTCACCCTTTCAACCCTGGGATCGGGATGGCGTTTCTTCCCAATGCTTTCTCCAGTTCCGGCCGCAGGTGAAGGCCACCGAGCGGCTCCGGGCGCGCCGCGCCGCGGAGCAGGGCCGTGTCACCAAGGAGGCCGAGGCCCTGGTGGAGCGGCGGCACTTGGTGGAGCCACAGGCGTGGAAGACTGGATGAGGTCGCTTTTTTTGCTTTGCCCAGAACTGCTGTATCTGTTGCATCCCTATTCGGCTACAGCCAAAAGAAGCAGTTCAATCAGTTGAATCCTGCCGCTCCTGCAAAAAATACCACTTTAGATAGATAACTTTAGATGGGCTCCAGCTTGGTTTCTTTCCGGGGCAATTTGCCATTTGGTTCTTGAGAGGGTGGAGCTCACCTTCACGCTCCTTTTCTGGAGGACTGTTTTATTTGGGTCAAACATGTACAATCATGTACACTTGGAGGCCTGCTCCTGAATTTCTGGGGAGATTCTACCGCTGCACTAGCCAAATGGCAAACTCGGTGGTGCTCGGTGGGAGCACATTTGGCCTACTGTGAGGATCTAAAGTGTGTAATCATGCTTGACAAATAGTTTTCAGACACGTGTTCCCACTAGATCATTTGCAGGACTGCAAACCCCTTCTTCTTTTGAGGCCGAGGAGTAAACCTAGGCAGATGAATGAAGGTCTGGTGGGCGAGTTTCTCTGACAGGTTGAAGAGAAGAAGATTCTGAAGACCGACGTCTCAGGGTTGCAGCAACTGTCCAAGACCCGAGTGAAGGCGTCGGTTTTTTCGCTCGCAACTCGAGCAGCAACAAATTTGGGGCACAGTCCTTGGGACTAGGCGAAGAAACATTCGGGTAGAGCTCGAAGCACGTGAAAAGACATTTAAATTTGTTCAGTGTCAGGATGTTTCATGCTCCTGCAACAAAAGACGGACATTTGCGTTCGCCCGCAAAGGGGCTCAGAAACCGTCAGGAAACACACCTGCAGGGACCACCCGGTGCCAACGATCCTCCGCAGGTCGTGCGTGAAGGCCCACCGGTGGAAGCCGCCCTCGAGCAGCCTCGAGTGCCAGCGCCACAGCCCAGCCGGGCGCAACGACAAGCTGCCAGGACATCACGGAAGACTGGGGACCTGGACTACGCGTGGAGGGTCAAGGTTTCTATGCGACTCTCAGACCAATGAGTTTCATCCAGCTTGACTTCTGCCAGACTCTTGTCAATGATGGAAGGAAGCTTGGGAGGGGCTTTCCTTGTTTTGAGACGGACCTTCTTCTCCAGTATCTTTCTGTTTTGAAGGAGTCGTGGCTTGGCAGCGCAAAGCAAGCTCCAAGCCCAGAGGCACCGGTGAAGGTGTTTGGTGGTGGAGAAGGTGTCCTTCTGCGAGACTGAGTGGGGTCCTGCATAAGGATGTGTTGCCTTCATGTGCATGACGGCTGCGACCAGACGACCGGACTGGACGGAGCGTGGACGGAGCACTGAGCACTGAGCACCGGCCGAGCCGTGAGGCAAGAGGAAGATGCCCTCCGCGAGAAGGAAGAGCTCCAAAAGAAGGAGCGAAGATGTGGTCCAGCAGAGCGATTTGCGACATGAATGACTCTACTAGTAGGTATTTGTTTGCTAAGACCATGATTCTTCCATCCGGTCAGAATCATAATCTAGACTTGCCTCAATGGGTTCACAGGAGCGTCAGACGAAGGCAATGGCTTTGGTGGAAGAATGGGCACCGCCCAAAAGCGGCAGCAAGGCGGAGATCGTGGCGATCCAATCTGATAGACTCGAGGTTGTCGCTCATTGCGCGCAGCACTGCTTGAAAACACTTGTGCCCTAACAGCGCTTGCTGAACTGGAGAACTTGAGGACCCGTCGTGCGGACACGTCGCTTTGGACAAAAATGCCAGGCATGGACATCAGAACTGCTTCCATGGCAGTTGCATGCCACCTCCGAGGTGGGCGCACGGTGTGGCACATTGTGCACGGTGTGGCACACGTGGGGGCTGAAGGATCGGGGAGGAGAGGAGAGGGTGCTTTTAGGAGAGGAGAGGAGCTGGATACTGGCTGAGCATGAAGTTGAGATGGCTTTGAGTGGTTTTCGGGGCCTTCCCAGCTTGGTTCATGAGGGTTTTGGGTGGAGAAGCGGAACTCGCTTGCAACACTGAGAGAAACGTGGGTTCCCACGAGTGGGCGCTCAGCGCTCCCAAATGGTCGACACCAAAACGCGCGCTTCCACCAAGTTGAGATGTACTAGTGTATGTGCAATGCACACAATGATGTAGACTTTTACTGACACGCGGTGACACGCTGATATAATTGTTTGTTGGTGGAAGCAGTTCGGACATCGCAGTCCTTGACCGCAAAAAGAATATACGCCAAACATACACACCCCTTTCTGTGCTCATTTGGCTTCCACGGTGCTATGCTGCTAGGCCGCTGGGCATGCGCTCGGCGAGATCCTGGAATCCGATGCTCCGCGCGGCTCGCTCTGCTGGGAGCGGCCGCGGGCACCGGTGCCGCACCCGCGGCCTCGCTCGGCCAAGCCCAGCTCCAAGGGCTCCAAGGGCTCCAAGGGCTCGTCACTCGGTGTGAAAGAGACCCGACTTCGCAGCGGCCCTGAACGGCGGCGAGTTGGGGTGAATATGGATTTGTTAGATTCCCATCAAGCTTCCCGCCACCACACTAGAATCCCCATTTCACTAGGATGAATCCCCGTTTCCTAGTTGGTTCCAAGGGTTTTGGGATGAACAAGTCCTGCCACACTTGGGTTTCGATGCCAACGTAATCTGTGGCGAAAGGTAACCTGAAGAGCGCGAAAGTCGCCTTCGGCCATTCGCAGGTACACTGTTCCTCTTTCATGTAGACAGCTGATTCATGAAACTCGCCCTGTGGAGATGCAACACATTTCTGGATCTGGGGGTTCTATTCATCAACAGTCTACAATGAGATACATTAATATACATGAATCACATTCAATTAATGCACTTCACCCACCGTTTGGCGTCGTTCTATCGATCCCCTCCGTCTCGACTTCTTCGTCTTCCGTGCCCAACCACCCCGCGCTCCACGTGGCGCGCCGTTGGCGCTTCAGGCTCGCTGTGCCCCGCGCCCGGAGCGTCGACTCCGCGCGGCGCGGCTCGACCCGCTGTGTGGCCACGTGGCTCGGGCCTTTGGCGAGCCCTCCGAGGGCGAAGGCGGACGCGTGGGAGAACGGTGCAGGAGAATGGGGGAGGAGCGGGTTTTTTTTGGGGTCGGAGGTTCCAGTTTCTGAGAAAAACACCTTTTTACATCCTTTTCAATGGACATAGCAGAAGCTGAGTCTTTGGAGCCACTAGCAGAAGTTGGCAAAGATGCAGCCCGGCTGAAAGTGAGGGAGTAAACGTTGGCCTATTGTGTTAAAGCTTTTCTTGCTACTAATAAGTTCCATGTTACTTTCAGATTATTATATAAAGTTATCATATCACACATTGGATGATTTGCTTACACTGTCATCATTATGATCAATGCACAATCTTTTTCTTTGAATGTGATGGTACATCTTATCTCAGATCGGACTCATCACCTTTGTGGACTCGTCACCACTACTGCCACTTTGCTATCCCCAAGTGGCCCAAGTTGGTGTGTCAGCTTCTCTCGCCATAGTTGCACACGCCCCGCTACCACTTGGAGCTTGCAAGGCAACTGCTCCATGCCAGCCACCAATCACGTGCGATGATTTAAAGGTCGGGTGCCAAGAATGGGAGAGACGAAACACTGCAAAGCTCTCATCACTACTTTGTCCCGTCCAGGAGTCTTTGTTTGACTGCTCTCATCTACACAATGAAGCGGAAAAGCCTGCAGTCATTCCACTTAAGGCTGGCCCAGATCATGAGTCAGTTGTTTGCAAAACTTAAGATTTGGCATGCTGTTCGCTAGATCGGTTTCGAAACCTTCTTGTCTAAACCACGGTCTATGCCATTCCTGCTCGTGGAGGCCTTTAGACCACCAAAGCACGTCGCCCCACACGGATCCAGGAGCCTCCGCCCGCAACGGATGACACGAACAGCGACGCGGCCATGGTCCAAGTGCCCCGGCGGTGGTCCAGCAGGCGCTGACCTCGCAAGCTACGGCCAGAATCCATGTTGGTTTTGAATCCATCTTTGCCACTGGACGACTTGGAGACATCTTGGTTGGTTTGAGCCCAGAGATTGAGATGATGTCCTCAGATCGATGCATTTCGGAAGATTTTGGAAGTATAATATATTATACGTAAATAATATAGTGTCTCAGACACTGCAATCCTTCCAAGCTGAAAGCATGTCCAAGAGTTGCATCAGGCAACGAGAGAGTGATAAGGAGAACACGACCGACACTCAACATGTTGCTTGCGAGGAGCAGGAGCCAAAGGTAGGCGGCGCACATGGGGGTGAACACAAAACTTTCGACACTCACTACTTTGTTCAGACACTCAATCATCGGCACAGGAGTCAGATGATATCAGATCCTTTTTTGAGCCCAGCTTGCAGCTCACGCGCAGTGAAGCAGAAAAGCCCAGAAGGCAGGCAGTTGGAGCCGTTGTGACCTGGCCGAAGAACTCGAGCGATCGCGCTTCCAGCGATCCCGCTCAGTATGACCACTCCTGCGTTCACGTGCGAGGATGGACAGAAGGACGACCGTCGAGTTCGGGGCTTCCTTATAGAGCCCGTTTGATCCTGTTTTCCTACATAGGGGGCGTTCCTGATCTCTGTTCAAGCGATTCGCGATGGGGCGTCCGCACACAGCGACCCTTTCGAGCCACCCTTTCTCCGATTTTTCCGATGGGTTGGTTCCGGTCAGTAGATTTCTTGCCGTGGGTCTTGTTTATAAATATATATATATATATAGATATAGACATATAGAGAATAGCGGTTGTTCAGTGACCTTCAGATTCAGCAAGATACCACTTGTTGGTCTTCGATGAAGCCGAACGCATCAATGATGTCCGAGGCACCCAAAGCGGCAGATGTGCCTTTCATCCAGTTCCCTGCGCCACGACCCACGAGGCTTTGTACGGTCACGAAACGTCGCTTCAAGGACCTGCGCAACGTAGCAACATATTTTCAGGATTTCAGGGCAGAGGGGTGCATCAAATTTGGGCCATGTCATATGAACATGTGTTCATCTGACTAATCAGGGATTATCAGTCATTTGGAAGACACCTTGATCTTAAAGTCGGAATGACTTGGCTGTGGGTCAAAACCGTATGCCGTGGTGCCTCAGGCGAAAGATTGGCGAGGAGGATTGCCTCCGCGAGGTTTTTGGAACCGTGCGAAAGACCATTCGGAGACGCGTGCGGTTGGGGTCTTGTGTCGCCAAGTTGGGGGATGTTGGGGGTCTGTTTTTGGAAACCTTGTTGCCATTCGAAGACACAAAGAGCTCTCTTCCCCTTTGTCTGTTCCAGCACCGCAGTGCACAGCGCCGTTGCGCGGTGCTGGAGGACTTAGCGTTGCAGTTGGATGACATCTGTCGGGAGCTGGATGCAGCCCGGAAAGCCCGGATGTGTTCCTGGGATACTACTTGCATTGCTGTTTCAAGTAGAGATTGAAGTTCAGGCTTGGCTTGCTGCTTGTGCTTGGAGCCAAACCTCTAATCTTAGTGTGTTCTTTTGGGTCAGAAGCTAGATTTAGGATGTGGAAGAGGATGGAAAAGCACATTTGCTGTGACACGGTCATATTCCGACCCATGCTTGTCCAGTTCAAATGTCGCTGAGGTGGGCCTTTGTGCTTGGGAGGCCTCAACGTGACAAGAATCCTCAGGATTCTTGCTAGAACTGCGTGGCAGTACTGAGAAAACACCACTGAGTCACAAGAGCATGAGTGGATCAATGAGGAGACATGCAGAAACCACATTCTGTGCGACTTACATGTGAGCTGTGCAGGCCTTTGAGGATTTTTCCGGATGAGCCGGAGCTAGTGGCCTTGGAGCTTTGAGTTTTTTGAGACGCAGTGACCGCAGTGATGACACTGATCTTGACCAATCTCCCCAACCCATGTGTGGTCGGTGTTGGGTTGCCAATTGCTGGTGCTGGGTGACATGCGCTGAAGGGTGGAGATTCAGTGCGCCAAAAAGAGGCCTTCGCCGCTTTTCACGTCACGTGGAGATGCTTTCATCCAGGAGTTTGTTCTTTAGAAGCTGAATGCACAGCTTTTGGACACTGCTTGCTGTTTGCGCTCAGGGGTTGTAGTTGATAGAAGTAAGGAGCTTTTGTCGTCAGTATGTCCTGTCCTGCAATGAAGACAGCATTCTGAAGGCTATTGTTGCTATTGAATGAACTGCTGCTGGATTTCCTTTGATTGCAGCTGCCTTGGTTCAAGGAACACAACAAGAATATATATAGATACGACTTGCAAGGGCTTCCCAGCCAATTGGCTCTTCAGGGTCCTGTTTGACAAGCTATCAGCTGGCATTGTTTTGGCCAATTCCCTGCAGCAGCAGGTAGCCATCCTGAGCAACACTGTAAGGCAACAAGGATATATATATATATATACACATACATACATTAAGGCAACAAGGATATATCTATACATACATACATTGGAACCCAGACTTTCATAGCGGGAGCGCCACAGAATGGCAGAGGCAGCTTGGCTTGTCAGCAATACATACCGCGCTGACACATTTTTCTTTTTTACTGTAATAACTATATCATGAAGTCAGTTTATATACTTTATTAATAAATGTTTCAAGTTTCAACTTAGAGTTTTGTTTGAGCTAGTCCAGTTGTAGATTCAGCTCAAGCACAGGCTGCAGCTCTTCCTGCCGACGCGCACTTGGTGATCAACGTGGATAAGGTGATTCCGGTAGATGTCACAGATACCTTTCTCCGAAGGACGCACGGAGGACGTTGGTTTCACCGGACTCTTTGGAAGGACCGGTCGGACCACCGTGTCACAACTCGCGGACCGGTTGGACCGGTGGTCGAGATCCCCGCAGACCGCCTGGCCCGGTTGACCCTGACCGGCCCTGACCGGCCGTCTTGAATGAACATCTGGGTGAAGCATCTTCGGCCCGAGCGGCATGAGCCGCTTCCATCGGGTCTGTTGTTTGAACGAAGCTCGGGCCAGACGTTGCCTTGGTGTGTTTGGTCCGGGACAGCGGAGACACTCTCGCAAGTTCGCTCTTCAGGCTTTGCAGATCACCAGTGCAGAGGAGGCAGAGCACCTGGATGCAACCGAGTCAAAGAGTCCAAGAGGAACAGCGGGAACAGCGCAGCAAGCCTTGAAAGTACTGCCACTTTCGCTAACAGAATTACATTCCCCGTTTTTGCTTGGGTCTTTGGACAGGCTCAGAAGCAAGGAGAAGCTTGGCTAAAAGCTGCTGTGCAGTGGGGGGCCTGGCTGAAGGCAGGCTTTTGAGACACTGTTTTGGAATGGGTTCGACTTTTTTGTTGAGGAATCCATTGAAGCCATTGCTCCATGAAAGGAATCTGCATGGGAGGCCAGTCATTTTCAGATGCTTTTTTCAACTGACCGCACTATGATAAGGTCAGGAGATCATAGCCTGCGCTGCTTTGGGCTTTGTAAGGTCCGGTCGAGTGAAGCAGTGACCCTTGGGACCGTCAGGTCCGAGGTTTCCAGGTCAGGCTCCTTTCTTTTGCTTTCCAGAGAGTATGAGCCATGCAGCTGAAGCATCCTGGTGAACGCAGTCAACATCTCCATTGATGATGACAGATGAAGAAAGCACCAACTCATGTATTATCACTCATGTAAACGACATCTATATCTACCTATATATACATATGGTAGATATATATATATATAATGCTTTGACCAATCAGCCATTTGGGTTTCTGAAAAATCCAGGAAGACCGCCACCGTGCGGTGGCCGACTGCTGCCGATTTCGCTGAGCAGGTGGCCGAGGCTCTTTGTCTTCAGAAAGACTTTGCCGCTGCCACAGAGAAGGCGGTGCCGTTCCGTTCGCAAATTGAGGGCTACGCCGCCGCCGACCCCCAGGTTTGGCAATGTATCTATTCTTGGCGCCCCACGGAATGCATGGCGCTCCGCCGGCACATTCCAAGCATAGAAAGGAAGGGCAAAACAGACGGGTGTCGATGTGACACCTGATGTGACCCCATAAAGGATTGGCTGAAGAGACACGGAGAAGGAACGCTCTCTGCGTGTTTTCTCGCAGACATGGGACGAAAGGAACCACAGAAGAAGTTCGCTAAACATGTTGACTTGGAAAGCTCAAGAGATGGGCAGTTGTTTCTTGGAAAGTTCAAGGGACACCTAGAAGTTATTTTATTTATTCATTTATTTTTACCCAGATAGCAAAGCTATGGGGTTCTTACTTCAAATAACAATGAGTTGCCCGTGCGCACTTTCGAGACAGGTTGCTGGTGCTGGGTGAGGGTGCTGGTGCTGGTGCTAGTGCCGGTACTGGTGCTGTGAGCTGGCTGCGCGCGCGGTGGAGACGGGTTGCTGGTGCCGGTGCTGGTGCTGGGTGCTGCTGGTGCTGGTGCTGTGAGCTGCCGGTGCACGCGGTGGAGACAGAATGCTAGTGCTGGCGCCGGGTGCCGGTGCTGGTGCTGGGCGCCGGGTGCCGCTGCTGGTGCTGTGAGCTGGCTGTGCACGTGGTGGAGACAGGTGCGGTGCCGGGTGCCGGTGCTGGTGCTGGTGCTGTGAGCTGGCTGTGCACGTGGTGGAGACAGGTTGCTGGTGCTGGTGCCGGGTTCCGGTGCTGGGTGCCAGGATTGGTCTCTGCTGTCGGCGATCCAGGTCTTTTACCTGAAACGCAGCACAGATGAGAGAACAACCACCTACCTACAGTCTTCTCCATGGTACTGGCACGCAGCACTTCTAACCTGTCCACGGCAGGTGAAGGCGGCTAGAGGTATCGCGGAGGACGAAGAGCAATACAGTCCCTGGCCGGGATGGAATGCCCATCAAACGATTTGTGGAATTGAGCGGTCCACATCAAAGTTTCATGAAAGTAACTTGTATGAGGGAAATGTATGCTGATATATGCTGATTGATTAAACAAATCCCCATTTGGATTGCACATCCTCTTCATTTGGGGGGTTGAACTTTCGTCAAGAGTCTACATGATAGGAGAACAACTTGTTCAATTCGATGTACAGTGAGGATGCTGAAACAAGATGAAACAAGATCGTCTGAATCATGAAAGGTGATCCTGGATGTTTCCTGCCAGAAACACCTGGACCAACCGCGCCAGACCCCCGGTTCCGTTGTGAGCGGACACACCGAGGTGATCGGGTCCATCGAACGCTCGAGTCGACGCGAGGAGCAAAGCCTCGAAGAGGCCTTGGCCGTGGTGAAGCTTCAGACGGCGAGGCGACGGACGGCGCCGCGTGAACGTGCAGAGCACGACGGCCGGTGGTACGAATGGGGAGAGTCCAAGCATTTATAAGAACAGAAGAGAGATTCTGGTGTTCATGGCTTGTACAGTAATTACAATATATATATATAATATGCCATAGATGTGGTGTTGTTTTCTTACCACTTGGAAGAACTTCCTCAACGGTAGGTTTTCTACCTTACCCCCCAAGCAGGTCATTTGTTACTTTCCCACCAGATTGGCGGTGGCAGCAGCTCCCCTACCCAGATCTTCACATCCCGCCAGGATCTGCGCGCAGCCTGGTGGAAATTCCAACCAGGTGCAGCCTGGCTTCCACATCGCTCGCCGTGAACATGAGCCGACCGGGACATGCGGAGTGAACATGAGTGAACGATTCGCCGGAGTTTCGTTCGCCTGGCCGTGCCTCTTGGGCATCAGATTTGTTCAGTTGTTGCCTGCAAAAGAAGAGTGCTGGCGCGAAGCCCGGACGTGACAAGAAAGAGCGTTGGTACAATGCAACTTCCTATCGGTCCTATCGGCAAGCAACAGTGGACCCGGAGTGCTGCAAGATTTGCACAAATGGAGGCCATTGCCATTAGGTTGGAGGCCATTGCTAGTAGGAACAAGAAGCTACTAGGGGCTCCTGGCATCGCTACTAGGAGCAAGGAAGCTACTAGGGGCTCCTGGCCGTGCTACTAGGAGCAAGTAGCTAGTAGACCTCCTGATCTCGACCGGAGGCGTTGGACATGGCAGAGGATGCGCTGCAGAGCTTTCAGCGGCTGCAGCTCTTCCGGGGCGAGGTGTGACGCGACTCGCTTGTGCCGAGCTGTTGGCGGTGAGCAAGCTGGGGAGCCAAGAGTGAATAACTCCAAGTGGCAAGTTGATTTGGAGCATGAGGAGCGAAGTATCTCTCATAGGCCAGAGACTGGATTGAACTGGTGGGTCGCTAAGTCCAGAAAAAAACGGAGTCTTTCTGCTGTTTCCAACCGGCCGTTTGGGGCCAGGCCACCTGCCACCTGGCTCTTGGAGACATGTATGCTTCCTTGCATGAGAAGGATCGAGCATGGGAACGGTACAGAGTCGCCAACTGGTGAGTTGCAGGGAGAGGGCCCAAACTGGATTAGTCGCAGGACGATCCTTTGACGCACTGATGGAACGCAATTCCGGGGAACGCACAGTTCCTGGGCGAACCATGTTTTGCAGCTTTGCTGCAAATCAGACTTCTTTTTCTTCTGCAATAGAATTGGTAGTGCCTTTTCTGGATGTTTTTCTTCATGCACAGATTCGCAGGGTTCAAGCCTCAAACAACAATTCGTGCAAAAGGCAAGCACATTCTCTCTCTCTCTCCATTGGCTTCAACATTCCAACCAAGCATCCGCCCGAAAAGTTTTAAAGACTTGTTTCCATGAACATGACCATGGGACATCGTCGTCTCTTCCAAGCGCCATGCGCGGCCTGACAGTGCTTGGTGTTGTGTCAGTTGGTGTTCTCTTTCCAGTGAAAGAATGGCGAAAGGAACTGAACAGATGGATTTTTGGAGAATCAGAGCAGCAAGAGGATGGCTGTGCCATGCCGAATGGAGTTGTTGAAGAGCGCCAAGTAGACTCCTTAGAATCACTTCTAGCAGAGGAGCGCTGTCCTTTCGTTGCGGCCTTCTTCTCCAGTTCGTCTCCTCTTTCGAAGACTCAGGAATTGGCGACGATGGAGCAGAGTGTGGCGGCGTCCTTTCCTAGCCTGAGATATGTTCGAGTGGAGACCGAGTACATGACGATCAAAAACTTTCTGCAGTGGGACATTACCTTCTTGCCCACCTACGTGCTCCTTTGGCCAGGTTCGGTGAACCCCTCGAACCCTGCCTCCCAACGAGGATGGCATCGTTGGCCCGGCAAAGGTGCAAATCCCTATGACTACGGAGAGGTGTCTGCGTGGATTTCAAAGGTCACGGGTCTGACTGTGCAAAACCGCTCCGAGATCGAAGAGGGTGCTGCGACTGGGACACTGGTTCCTCGTGGGTCACAAAATGGCTTTGGGAGCCTTCTGGTTGCTTGGACACTGGTGGCCCTTGCAGTGCTACATCGCTTTCTCAACTGGCAGCCCATCTTCGCATGAGGGCGGAAAAAAGATTGCACTTGGCTCTCCACCCACGAGAATGGCTATACATCATTCCAAGACTAAGACCAGAACATGAGGTTGGGGTACTTGTATGTATTTGTTGTACTTCCCCAGCTAGCTCGTTCCTGGTGCCGCTTTGGACGTTTTTGACCTGCACTACCCTTCGTTTGCTCGTTACACGGCAAACTGCAGGGCTGCATGCTGTAGGATTGGGTCATCGATTCATAGGTTCGGACAGGGTAAAACCGTTTCTTGTTTGGAGATGTAGCCTAGCCTGGCATCATTTTCCGTCCCAACATGGCAAACAGGGACAAGTCAAGTGCCAAGAGAACGAAAACACATCAACGGAAGAAGGCCGGCGGATCGAATTTTCAGTCTATGCTGATCAATTGCCAGATCCAGACAACTCTGGTTATCGGGCGTTTCTCGCGGCGTTTCTCGCTTTGGTTCGAACGCCGGCGAGGATGAAGCCCTACGGCGTCACAAGCAGGCGTGCAATCGAAACGAGGAACGTCCTTGACGAGGAAGCAATGCCCATCTGTGTTTATTGACAGCACACCGCTGTGAATACAAGAAGTTGCTAAGTTAAGCGACAAAGAAGGGCAGCTAGAAAGCTTCTTTGCGCTTTGCAATTGTTTTTAGCATCCAAAGTTCACCAGGCTCTGGCATTCTTTCGACGGGTGGGCGATACCAGTATCTTGGCTGATGGGGATATGAACAACCCGTGTGTGGTTCAAGAATCTGCATCGTACAGAAGGGCAACTTTAGTTATCATAGTGACCTCATCTGTTTTCACTCAGTGATTACCTCATCCCCCATACCACACGACTGGCTTTTCTGTTTCTTCGTCTCGCGCTGGCTTTCTTCGTTTCGCTGCTGACCGATGGTCCCAGGTGCCATTGGTGTGCTGCAACGGCGCATCGCCCAGGACCACTTGGCCACTCCAGCCCGTCCGGGAGCTGCCATCACGGCTGCACAGAAGGCAGTGGCGGCATATCAGGCTGGAGCGATGTCCGGAGCTTCTTCTGTTCTTGAAAGCTTGGCCGCGAAGCATCTCTCCGTGGATGCACTTGAAAGGAAGCTTTGTTCAGTCAAAAGTTGTGTGTTCCATCTCACAAGGTCTGGTCTGCAGCTGACGGCATACCCCACGAGCCTATATATCAGTGCATGCAGTGAGGTATTGGATCGACTTAGGTTTCTGGCTCGACTCGGGCGATGCTCCAGGCCACCAAGGAGACAGCGCAAGAAGCTTCTTCCTGGATAGTCTTGGCAGAGGCAGGTTGGAAGGATACTTCTTATTGCGCCCCCCCCCCCCCCACACCCAGATTTCCAACTCAGAATCTTAGCTTCTATCCTTTGCAGCAGACAAATACAGCTCTGTGAGCGACAAAGTGAGCACTGAAAGGCAAGTGGTTTGATTGCACGAAGAATTTAGATAGGATTGATTGCTGTTCGACTATATGGGTTGATTCAGTTCCTTCGTTCATTTTCTTTCTTGGTTTATCACATATTATATGATGCATTATATTGTGAAGCCTGCTCCAGTATACATCATTTGCTTTTTGCTTGCAGGCGCAAGGCCACGGCAAGGATGCTAGTGCTGCCAAGGAATCAATTGGAAAGGCCCCTAGAGGGGATGCTTGACCATTCCCACTGCTTACATGAAGTCTAGAAGATCATATCGAATCTCCATCATCTCCCAGCAATGCTGTGTCTTTTCTTCTTTCGAAGATGGAGACCACATCTGAGAGCTCACGAGTAGGCCAAAACCGGAAGATAGAGAGCCTGAAACAAGGAGTCACCATTGGCAGGCAAGACGTTCTCAAGGCATTTTCTAGCAGTTCCATTTTTGTCCAAACATAAAACGGCTGCACAAACACACCATCAAATGGTATACAATCATTTACACCCCTAGTCTCTTCCACCTGGGCGTGTCTACCCCGGAGCCGTCCCGTTCTCCCCGTCCCCTTCGAACTCCGTGCCTCGAGGCGCGTGATCTCTTCTTCGCGCTCCAGGATCCGGCCTCTGAGGTGGGAGCCGAACCAGCGTGCGTGCGATGCGTGAGGTAGTGGCGAGAGGTGGGAAGCGTGCGGAGCAGAGCGGAGCGTCACCCGGGAGGTGTGGTACCCGCCGAGATGCGGATCGATCTGCGGCTTTCCACCAAATCGTATGGTTTGGGTTGGCCACCGTCTGAAGGCGCTTTCAGGGGACAATCCCGGTGCAGGACCAGCCTCAAAGGCGTTTCTTTAACCAGACGATTTGTTCTATTCCTTGGTATCAAGATGGCTTTCAAGTCTTTCAGAGAGTTTCACTTTTGGCAAAGCTCCCCAAGAAGTGTGAGACAGATCACAAACATGTATATGATTGTATATGTACATTGTACATACACACATACACATACTAAAACACATGTCTTCGACAACTCAAATGAGCCGCTCTAAAAACCTGCCTTGACATCTTAAGTAAGGACCTTGTCATATCGAATTCCGCGTAAGCAAAACCCTGGGTTGCGTAAGATTGCGTAAGCATTTCGCGTAAGCATTTCGGAAGTTTGCTTTGCGTAAGCAAAAGTGAGGGCCGCGTAAGCAGCGCGTAAGGCTTCGCGCAAGGAAAGTGATACGACATAGGGAGTGACTCCAGGGTTTTAGAGTGGCTCAAATGGGTATGTTGGCATATAACAGAATACACACATTGAGGTCATTTCTTGTTCCACGTCAGGCTTCTGTCATAACAACCGCAAAGAGGCAAGGCCACGGCATCTTCAATGTTGCAGGCCAAGGCCATGGAGGTTTTGGTGGAGATCAATTTGAGAAATGGCCGTGGGCGCCCAGTAACACTTTGGATCATTCTATAAAAAGCAGACACATCTCGGGAAGACATCATAGCGAACCATGAAACTTCATGGCAAACACCCGGATCTTGTTTTCGTGTTCGAATGCCAAATCAACTGGAGGTCGTGTCTGTCATCCCTTCGAGAGGTCGTGTCTGTCATAGGCGATGGATTCGCAGACTCTCACTCAATTGGGCTGCTGAAACACTGCTGAGTCAGCGAAGAACTGTTCAGCACTCCAAAAAGAAACTCCATCAACCCGAGTCTTGCGATATCGATGAAAAGGCCTCGTTTCAGCCTGGAGACCTGCCTCGACCAGCGGCTTTCACAGAACACTGAGATGCTTCGACAGTCGCGAAGCTTTGACTGAGACCTGCCTGTTGAAGCCGTCACCGCGGCGAAGGAGGTGGTCAGCATTTTTCGGCAGGCGAGGTGCCGCGAGTCTCAGAGTGGAGAAGCGAAGTGCACCGATCGATAAAACTTAACACTATAGCTATTAATGTTTCTGATGAATAGTATTGGAAAGAGGGAATAACTCAAAATCTCTTGCTGCCAAGAGATTCTGCAGAATGATTGTACAACAGGTGCAGATCAAACGCAGTGGTCGCCCAGGACAAACGATAAACATGGCGACCGGACTTTTGAACATCGTTTCAGTGCAAAAGGCAGGTGATCAACGAGGAGAAGCGCTCGCTTTGCTGTTGGGGGCTCCAAGACCAAGCGAACCGTTCTGTGTGTTGTCAGCAGGCTTGACTTGCATTTTCTGATTTACTTTGGAAGCCGAATCCCTTCACCGTCCGAACCCCCCGGAGCCGTCGTCCAGTTATTAAGTGACCCCATGCCCTCGAGGTCCGTCGCGCGGCTGCTGCTGGACTTGGATCCCAGCAGCGCAAAGCGGCTCACCAATGTAGCCAGGGGAGCACAGTGAACTGGAAACGCCTTGTAGCCTTGTGATGCCTTGTGAACCAGAAACGCCTTCACAGGATATGGGGATCTGGTCGTTGTTTTGTAGGGCCTTTGTAGGATTTAGTCCATTTCTTCACGCTCCGAACCGAAAAGGCACTTGGTGTCTCATTGAGGCCCACGACATGATGAAGGGCCTCAGAATGGAAGAGGTGAAGGAGTGCGAGCGCTTACAGGTGCCAAAGTTGAAGATGGTGAGTCGTGGATGGGTCAGGTAGCACCTAGGGCTAGGGCTTGCTTGTCATTGTGTCTTGGTGGCCAAGTGGCTGACATGAGACATCATGAGACAACGTAGATCATGGCACTTCTAGTGGTTTAACGCACAGTTGCACCAGTGCCAGGCGGAATGTGAGCATGGTGAGGCGGTGTCAAAAGTGCAGCATGCCATCTACAAGCATCGAGACTTTTTGCACGTGCTGCTTGGGCGAAGAGAACGGCTTGGGGAAAGGATCTCGTTCGGATCGCCTTGCACCGAATTTGCGCCCTGTGGTCAAGGGCGAGTGGTTCAAGCCCTGACGCCCCTCAGCTCGTGCGGATCTACCCGCTTTGAACATTAAGGGCCCACCGCGACGAAGCCAAACTTTCAATGGTTTTGCAACAAAACTGGCCTCCAATGCGCTTTTTTTGGGAAAGCATGGCTGGTCTGCAAGCTCCCGTGTTGCCATGCCTGTGCATGCATTGGCAAAAGTTCAGGAGCGGCACCGCTTATAGAAATCAGGTCGTAGCAGTCACTGAGATGGAGAAGCCTGTGGCCCTAAAGTCATGGTATTTACAGGAAAGGCTGAGACTGGATGGAAACCCAGGGATTTGGAGGAGAGGAGAGGGCTGCCGTGATCCCAGCGACAGTACCCACATCTTCCATCGTCCCTAGTCTAACACTTTCCCCCACAAAAAACAAGCTTTCACCGCAATGCCGGCGTTCCTGGGTTTGGGATTCTTTTCATAAACATTCTAGTTCCGAAAGCCTGATCCCGCACGGTGGCGATTTGTGCGCGTGCGCACAGCGGCTCCGAGGCCACGTGTTCTCATTGTGGACCCTGGAGGTCGCAGGGAGACCTCAGAGCATTCTTGCCGTTGGATAAAGGCTTGGTTGAGCTTGCTAGTGACGGAGTAGGTTGGTATAGATTCAGGTGTTGGCCCCCAGACTAGAGTCATAGATGCACCAGCTAATAGATTCAGTGGCGAAAACACGGAACTGTTCAATTTCTGAGGGCTATATAACTATCTCCGCTAAGGCCAAAAACTCCAGCAGGACTTTGAAGACTTTGCGAAGGCCTAGCGTACTGCGTGGGCTGGGCAGCTAGGCCCTGATAGCATATGATAGCTCCCTTTTCCGTGCCTTAAGATGACCCGAAAAAGAACGAAGCAGGAACACTGAGGCTGTCTCTGGGACCAGTCTCCTTGTCTCAGGGATCAACACCGAGTATTGCATCAGGTCCTGTCCGCCGTGGTGCTTCGTTGGGCCAGTTGTTCTCTTCAGTGGACGTGGGGAGTCGGGTAGAGCGCCCTACGCACATCAGCAGTGCCCCCGCCAGGCAGTTTGAGCCCTGCCTTCGCCTGAGAGTTCGCTTCGGGTCACCGGACATGCGGTTGCGCCTATGCATCCTGGTCGTGGGTTGTGCAGCGGGTTCAATCCCAATTAGGCTAAGAGGATGTTGGATCCTGCAACTGAAGGCTTCAAAGAGAGATGAGATAAAATAGCTATTTTTTTCCTCGCTTCAACAAGATCTTATGTTATGCTGTAACTCGTCTACTCGTGTGAGTCACGTTGCAGCGGCGCGCGGCGCGAGGCCTCGTTGACCACAAGACTGGCCAATGTGTTGGATTTCTGAGTAGTACTGAGCAGAACACAGGTGCTGTTTTGCTTTTATCACGTAGTTATTCCAAGCGAAACGCGGTGTGAAACGACGCCCGCGAAAACGGGCGCCCTCTTCCAGTTTCGGCCACTGGCCGGTGCGCGGTTCAAAGCTGGCCGTGTGGAGCTGACGGGAAAAGGGGTGGAGAGAACCAGAGAAGAGACGGGAGGAAGATGCGAAGGCTGATCAAGTCCACACCCATCCACAAACCTTCAGGTGGATGGGAACGTTCGTTCTGATCAAACCTGCTTTGGCTCAGCTGGCACGCCCAGACGAGTCACCTGTCCATGGAGAGTGTCGAGCATGGCAGAGGTACGACGCTGTGGATCAGTCCACGCAGACGCCGAGGCGCCTCTTTCGTCCAAATCCGTGGCCGCAGCAGAACTGATGAGTCGATGGATCACCTGCTCGAGGGTGCGGCGCAGGAGGAGAAGACTCGCCAATCTCGCAAAGGGGTGTACCTGCCATTTGCGAACTATTACCGGCAACTCACATTCAGGATCAGTGACTTGATGCCAGAGGTTCGCGTTTATTCTGAAGGGGACTGCACTGTGTCGGTTGACTTTGTGGTGGCAGCTGTGGTCTTGGTTTTGCTTCTTGCTTTATTGGGCCCAGTCTTGATTCCAATTGCAATTCTTTTTTGTGCTGTGTGGGATAATGATCGGAAATGGTTTGACTGGTTGTTGCAACCGCTGATGGTTGCGTTGGCCTGCCTTCCACTGTACTTACTGTGGGCCATGACTGACACGGCATTTGAAAAGGACACGTTGCAAGAGTTCAGGAGAGCGGAAAATTCCATGCTCGAGCTTTGCGGCCCATACCTTTGTCTTCTGATTTTCTCCTTCGTGTGCCTAGCAGACGTGTGCCAGTGTTGCATTGAGAAGGGAACTGGCCAGATGCTTTTGGACGAAATGCATGAGATCAAAGAACAGGAAGGCTTTGTCCGAGAGATACCGGAGTCAGAGCCGGAGCCCTTGGGCGGTGGTGACAACTTGGGAGAGCAGCTCTGTGAGATCGTACAATACATTCACAGCACGGTGGGACGGCATGAAGAATCTTGGGGCTGCGAGTGTCTGCAGGAAGCTCCAAGCAGTCTGACGAGCAAGTTCATGGGTGTGATTCTCAAGATTTTGCAGCGCATGTTCGAGGATGGGTATCAAGACGAGAAGGATGAAAGTCAGGAGCTAAGAACAATGTTGGAGGAGAATTTCATCACTCCTGACCAGGCCATCGCAGCATTTCGGGCTTGGGACGTTTTTGGTTTAGGGAGAGACTGAGGAGACCGTTAGGTGACCAGGTCTGAGCGTTTGCCTGTCCAAACGGAGACCTCTAGGTCAGGTTGTCCAAATTTTTCGACCCCAGGTCTCGCCTTTGCAGCTGGTGTGGTTAGTATTTTGCAGCCTTGGCCCCACGCTCCTTCCAACCGTCTACCGCTTCGTCAATGGCTATGAAGACTTTTTGTTTTCCAGCCACCCCGCTGTGAGGCGATGCCAGTATGCATACTTGCTCATAACTTTCTCGACTTCAGCACACCTGCTCAGTTCCTGTTATGATCTGAATGAGCGCCTGGAGAACATGCAACTCGCCACGCTGGCAACCTTGTATCTCGTTGCGCCCACCAAGCGCCGTGCTGTACTTGCTGCCACCTACAAGCGTCGCTTCAAGAAACTGGTACTCATGCCGACACCTCAAAATTCAGTAACTACTCCTCTTGCCGAAGCAGAAGTCCAGAGGGTCACAACTGAGGCTGGCAGAACTCTCTCAGAGGGCTTTGGCCAGTTGAGATATGTCATGGACCAGAGGGAGCAGAATGCTTGGAAGCTTTTCCAGATTGAGTACGAGACAGCTTGTGGAGTTGAGAAAAGCAGTCCCAGTCCAACTTTACATGGCACCACTTCATCCCATGCCGATTCTGCCTTCACGGATGATGATGATAATGACAATCATGATGCCAACAAAGGCACCTTCTCATACCTTGCAACACGCAAATTTGCTTTGCTTCAACTCTTAGCCAGGTCAGATTGCTTGGTACTGGAGGTGAAATCGCAAGTGGTAGCCTTGGTTCTCACAATGATAGTGGTGATGTGTGCTCTCATTGTTGGGTTTTCCATTGGGTTGATGCACGGTCATCATGCAATCACTCCATTGTTTTGCGTGATTTTCTTGCCACTCATTGTGATCGGGATGCTTCTCATCTTGAACAAGCTGGTGATGCTGGAGGTCTACCTGTACGAGGATACCTTGAAGATTTTACAGTCTTGGCGTGAGCGCATGGAACGACTAAGGTATGCAGTCACTCTTCACAAAGCCAGCACCGCGAATCGGGCGGAACAGGAGAGCTTTTTCCACAGCGGCTTGGACCCAAATGAGCAAGCACCAAAACCTGCGATGACCAGTTGAGTAAAGAGCGGTCGGGAATTTCAGGGATTTGGCTAAAACAAAAGCGGTAGGCCCCCTCAAAGCGACAAAGCCATGTCACTGCAGCTTTTGGATATCTTCCATCTATTTGTAAGAGAAAACCACTGGGGTGCCGCCATTGACCTCGGAAACCACTGGAATTGTGTGGAATTGTTGTTTTGAGCGTGTTGTCTCAGAAGAAAGTGGCGGCCAGCTCCTTTTTTCAAGGTGCGGAGTTGCGTGGTTTCAGGGTTTGTTTGGAAGCTACCTGCGATTTTGCTGCACATCATTGTGATTTTAGAAAGTGTCGAGATCAATCGAAGCGTGCCACAGGGTGCACATGTTGCTATTCTAACCGCAGTGCATGCATGTCAGACGCAGCACTCGGTGCTCGGAAGGCCCAGTACAGTAGTACATGGCAGGTTTATGGGAATTGTGAGGAGGCAGCTTGCGTTGTTGTGCCCTTTAGATGTGCTTTTCCCCTGTGTGTTGGGGCGTCGTCGTGTTGCTGTATCTTTTTGAATGGGCTGTGCCGCAGAAGTGCAGATTTGGGGACGAAGCGAAGATGTCTCGAAGTGGATGGTCATCTTGCAAGAAGTGTCCACAAGAGTCTCGTACAAGACTTGAATATACAAAGATTACAAGAGTGTTTCTGGTCCAAACACGTTTTTTCAGCAAAGGGACGCTTCAGCGAAGAGTTTTGACACGCATGCCTCACCATGACATGCCTCACCATGACATGCCTAAAAAAGCTGTTTGGTTGCACAGAGCTGTTCCAGCGCTCTGAGGCAGAGCTGTTCCAAGGTTTGGATTCAGGTTCATGGATTGATCGGGTCACATCAGGTCACATTGGGTCCAACTCTTGCCTGCGATCCCGAGGTCTCATCGACCCTGTGGCTGGCCTGATTGACTACACCAAGAACTGGCAAAAACGCGTCAAGATCTTTGGCCTAAATGCATCTAGCTCGCGCCGGAATCGCATTCTGCTGTCCATCATCGCGTACTTTGGCCTTGTGTTTTGGCACTTCTTGTCACACAAAACATGGTACATAGAGCTGCAACAAGAGTTTTCAACGATTGCCATGTCTCATGGCGTAGTAGTACTTCCGGAGTAGTGGCCAAGTGAGAACGAAGGCCTGCGTTTGTTTTTATGCCTCCCCTGCATTGGTTGATTGCAACCAGTTTTCCTTGTGGGTGTGGCCAATGTGCAGTAGCTGGTTCCGTCAGGAACGTAGCGAAGCCAAAACGGCAGATAATCAACTCCTGGGATGGTAGTGGATGTACTAAGTGTCCTTGGGTTTGACACATGAAAAGAATGCCGCAGCGCCGCAGACTGCAATGAAGTTTAAAGCATTCCTACAAAGTCCATCCATCCCAGCGGATCAGCCACCTATCCGCCACCGAACTCCACAGAACCGGCCAAGCTGCTTGCTGTGTTGCACAAGTTCGATCGCGCAAACAAGTTCGATCTGCAGCAAACGTACCGCTTTTCCATCTGTTTGAGCAATTCTGGGTGCCTTGGCAGGGACAGATTCCTAGAGAATGGGCGGTGTGAGAGATGCCGAGAGAGAGAGAGAGAGAGAGCGGGGGGGGGGGAGCGTGCACGTGCGAGAGCGAGCATCAACATGCACTCACCTCTGCGGATGATTTGCTGCAAAGGGCCAGTCAAAGGTGTTGAGCATGGCAAACTGTCAGCAGCTGAAGAAATGCGACCCAATTCCCTCCTCAAAAGGTCCAGACTAGGCTTCCCGGTACACCGTGAAGGCAAGGCTAGTAGGGTGTTCCGGAGGTAAGCAATGCAATTGTTTGATATTTTTTGTCAAAAGGAGCTACTGGGTCTGAGTCGTTCTTTCAAACTCAAGGGAGCCCGCCCAAATGCAAACTTCTGAAGACACCTGAATTGCATCTTTTTGCTGTATGTCCCCGGCGACAATGGCACGCTGGTGGATGAGTTCGAAAGCCGCTTGGACTTACTGTACCATTTGTTGACCTTGCTTGCGAAGCAGCTATCTACGACCATTGGTCGAGCACTCTCGAGAAGGGGAGATGGTTTCCGTTGGTCCAACTTAGATCACTCTCGCCGAAAGCGAGCGTTCAGCGGATGATTGGTTCAGGGGCTGGCGTTCTTGGCATGCCTGAGCCGAGTAGCGTCGGAAGAGGCCGAGTAGCGGGGTTTGCTTTCGGCATGGCACACTCTGCATTGTGTCACGTTGCTTGATCATGGCTCTACTAGTACAGGGACTAAAGACTACTAGAGACATCAGTTTTCAACTCTGAACCAATCAAAGCCCCTCTGAGCTTCGTCTCCTTGGTAGCGATTGGAAGGCGCCTTGGACGGTGCAATGCAATGCAGATTGCGGCGGGGTGCGGACGCTGGGTCAGACTGCAATGCCTTCGACTGCAGACATTCTTCTTTTGGTTGGCTTAGGGTTTAAGGTGCCTTAGGTGCTCAGTGATGTCTTGAGAAGTACCACCCAAATCTTTTTGATTCACACCATTGGGGCAAGACCATGGACTGGACTGCGGAAACTTGGGGTTCCCAAGCTCGGGTCGCGAGTACCGCCACTCTGGACGGTGCGGACAGAACAGCGGGTTCAGGCCACCAGTCAGACTTGCCAGTCCTCACCAGGACCTCTGGTGTTTCGTGTTTCTTTTTGCAGACCTCCTCTCCACCACAGACCTCGGCTTCTTCCTAGACATCGAGCCTAATGTGGACTCTTGATTGAAGCAATCCCCATTTGGATTGAACAACTGCTTCATTTGGGGGGTCTATTAATCAATAGTCTACATTACCTCATCAAGGTTGTTTCACAGAAGTTGGCTTTGTTGAGATTGTGTCCGATGACGGCTCTCAACAAGGTGAATACCTGTGCGGAGAAGCAGCTGTGCGAAGGCACCATTGCAAGGGCCTAAGAAGACACGCAAAAGGGCCTAAGACCCCCGTGGTGCAGCGGAAAGCACCACAAGAGTTGAAGAAGATCAAAAGCAAGAAGATCAAGACGTAAGGAGTCACTTCATCATGGCTTGTGACTTGTGTCTATCCATCCTCTTTGATTCCATTAGCAATTCTTGCATCACCGGACCAAATTAGTCCTTTGGTATACCAATGACCTTGTCACCTTTCCTCCTTCGCTCCACTTCTCCTTCGCTCCACATCTACCAACACCATGTGCTTGGTGCTCTCTTCATTCGACCCCGATTGTCCGGCTCCGCCCGCCCGCTCGAGCCGCTGTCGAGACCCTGGTAGCGTCGTTTAAGGAAGAGACCTCCACATGCCCTGATGCGGAGCCCTGCAGCTTGCCTTGCATTTAAAAACCAGTCATGGATCCCCTTCTTGGTTTGTTGTTCCGTGTTATTCAACTGTTGTTGCCCTGTATTTATGTAAACCTTTGGTTTGGTTTTCTCCAGTTTTGAGGACTGTTGTTGTCGTCGATGGATTCCATGGCCGCATGTCTGCCACCTTTCCATTGGCCGCTCGACACCTTTCCAGGCCTTGGTGGAAGTGGCAGTGAACGGGATTGTTGGCCGAAAGACTGCCAGTCCTTTGGCCAAGCTGGACATCTTTGGAGAGAACCTGTCGAATTTTCGCCGTTGGACGCGAGATCGAGATCAACAGATTCAGGAATGCAACACGGATAGACGACCTCTCAACAGGAAAAATGTCAGACGACCTCTCAAGATAAACTTTTCAGCACGGCTTCCCATTCAATTACGTTTTTTTTTTTTTTTAAAGTATCCTGTATTATATATAATGTATTATATATATATACACAGTATATAATTGTAATATATATAAATATATATATATATATATACACACGTCATTCCGTCATTCGTCTTCGTTCCTCATTTTCAGTGACGTCGAGGTGGGGTGAATGGCGTGACTGGGCCAACGATGGTGTCTCAGGGCTTTGCACACGGACGAGGCGGCGCTGGAGTTCGGGTGGCCAACTTGAGAGACCCTGCTCAGGAGGTGAGACACCGTTTGGAAGCTGCCTCCCGCCGCATCCCACCGAAGCGGCTGTTCATCATGAGGTACAGTTACGATCAGTTACGTGCCTGTCCTTGAGGCTCTTGGCAGGTCACTCCAGCATAGATTAGAAGCTAACGTATGCGAACTGCTGTGACATGATTTTTGTGATACCGTCTACTTGGTAGGCAGTTCAGCCCCAGCGAGTGCGGTGGACAGCAATGCTTGGGCACCACCAAAGACACCATGTGAGCGCCTCAATTCCCTGCTGCCATGGGTCAGAATGTGATGATGTATTCTTTTAAAGGAATGGAGATGCAGTCACTTTATGGCGATCCAAGAATCCGAGCCTCACGTGTGCGTTTTCACACTACCACTACTGCTGTTTGTTTTCTTCTTTGACTGAGAAGCATCATTGCATCGAAAGAAGTTGCAACTACTGCAGCCTTTGCATTCCTACTTTTCACTTGGGTCTGTGACAAGTACTGTTTGAAGAGAACCCCCCAGACCAGGCTTTATCCCATCTAGCCACTGGCAGTCTTCATCCGAAGAACTCAAACCAGATCCATTCTGTAGCTTCTGTCGACTTGATCCGGAAGTGATCAAGAAGTTCAGCCGGATTCCTTGTTCCAAGGTACCTTAGACTTCTGTAGACTCAGTTGATGAACCGGTTCATTCACCGGAGTGCCAAGGTACTGTGATCCCCTGGTGCATCCACCCTCGCCTTGTGAGCTGGGAAGCCGATGAGCTGTGCAGACGGATGGATAGACACAGATGGACCTCCCAGATGGACCCCTCAGTTGAATAGAGGAGGAGGCTCAGAGGGGTGCAGTGAATCAAGCGAACACAGTGCAGTTGGGTTTACTTCGGTGGTTTGGCTGGCAAAGCTCCGGGGGCTCCAGCACACCCAGGTTCGACGAATGGGGGCCTTGGGAGGCTTGCGATTCACAGACTTTGCAGAGGCCGAACAACTCATTCGCGGTCACTGCCATGCGGCCAAAAGTAGAATTGGACAGTTTGGCTCCAAAGTATGTCGCTTGTGCCACCCATGGTTGCAGCATGGAGTCTCATTTCCAAATTTCTTTTGATCAACATCCTTGGTCCGATAGTGAACCAAAGAAACCATGCCTGCACTGCACTGGGCCGTTGAGCAAGACCATAGCAGGTAAGCATTCCGTGGCAAACTTGTTGGTGTCCAGAGGGTTTCAACTACCACGGTTTCATTACTCCTTATGATCGAGTGCGGCGTGGAGCCAGGAGCCGGTCACGGAAGGTGAAGAAAGAGCCGGAGTATGGTGGAACACCCTGCAACGCTGGGACCTCCGCTGCGGCTTTTTGTCTGACTTATCATACTGGTTTGGGTAATGAAAGAGCTGGGTCATCTACAATTTCATGCATTTTAGATCATTTTGCTTCCGTGCATGTCCACCAATTTCTTGCCCTAGCACGTCTGCTTTCCAGCAAGTGAATCACTCTCACCACTGGCCTCGAAACTGGGCTGTTGAACTAGTTTGAAATGAAGCACTCCATACACCCACTCACTAGTAGCTCAGCTAGCGAGCGCTGGAGTCGCCTGCCCAGCGTAGCACCAAGTGCTGAACATACAAGCGGTGGCTTAACAGGCAGTTTAGCAAGGCGGTCCACACCTGCTAAACATTTCGCAAAACAGACGCATCTCCCAGGGGATTTGGAACCGTGCACCCGGATGAACTTCGCACCCGAATGGAGGACATCCATTCGGTTCACCCTTGGTTTTGTTTGACTCGCTCCGAGCCACCTCCAAACATCCATGCGATCGCGATCTGACCTCGTTCCTCGCTCCGCCACGGCGTTTGACACGCACCGACTCGGGCGATAGCTATATTAAGCCGCCCGAGGGTGCGCTGAAGCAGACCGAGCCCTGTGGCGCTCGCCATCCCCCCGCCGGGGGCCCGAACGGGTCGAAAGGCGGTGTCGACCGCGACCGCGACCGGCCCTGGGTCCGGTCGACCGGGCGCGCCGACGGTCGGGTGCGCCGCTCCAGGTGCCTTGTATCTTGGGCGACTGGATGGAATGGAGTGGATGTACTCGCCCGTGGGAGGCCTAAGAGTGACGAAAACACAGGGGGACACTTTCACGACTGTCCGACGGGCAGCTGAAACTGTT